TCCTGCTGCTGGGCAAGGAACAGCCCAGGGCATCCTGCTGGGCAGGGAACAGCCCAGGGCATCCCTCTGCTCCCAGCCAGTCTGAAAAATTCCTGGCAAGCTGGGCAGCCCTTTGTGATTTTTTTTTTTTTTTTTTTTTTTTTTTTTTTTTTTTTTTTTTTTTTTTTTTTTTTTTGGAACAAGAAACTATTCCTTGGCAGAATTGGCTTTCCACATCCACAGCCCATCACCATTTTGAGTTGCCTCCATCCTGCCCCCTCCCTTCTCCTGCTGAGCTCTCCCTGTCCTGCACAGACTCAGGCTCTGCCAGACCCGGCCTTTGCCCTGTCCCCGTGTCCCCAGGGGTGTGACAGTGCTGCTGTCCCCACAATCAGGGTCCCCAGAGCTCACTGTCCCCAGGGGTGTGACAGTGCTGTCCCCACAATCAGGGTCCCCAGAGCTCACTGTCCCCATCCCCACAGCACCCCTGGAATGGCCCCGTCCATGCAAGGTGGATGTGAAGAACACCAATCACTTGTTTCAAAATTTTTGAAGTTTACTAGTAATAAAATATTTATAAAAACGGTCATAAAAATTAGAGCAGTAAGAATTTGGGCAATCAGAATTAGGACAATAAAGAGCAATAAAAAGAAGGAGTTACAGAAGTCTGGGTGCTCTGCTCTGTCCCAGAACACACCTCACTAACAGAGGATTAACCCTTAAAAGCAACAGCCTGTTACATATTCATCTGTCTCATACATGAATCAAAAATTCCTTTCAAACTCCGGATTTTTCTGTTTATTGTCAAATTCCGCCCTTCATCTTGTAAATCAGTGTTTGGCTCCTCGGAATCTGGAAGGAGTCTGGAGCAATAAAGACACAATAATTCTTTTCTTTGGGATTTTGGTGTCTTGCTGCTGTTATCTCTGTGCAAAGAATTTTTTTGTTATCTTATCTGTTCCTTGAGGTAGTCAGTAAAAGTATCTTACATTGGATAGTTTCTATTTTATATTATGTTGTAGTCTAAAACTGTATTTACCACACAATTTAAAAAGGATAAATACAGCCCTTCCTTCCTTCCTTCCTTCCTTCCTTCCTTCCTTCCTTCCTTCCCTTGAAAAGCACTTTCTCATTTTCTTTTTTGGGTCTCACAGGGCTCCTTCCCTGCTCCACAAAGGGCCACAGAGACCATCAGGCACCAGAGCCCTTTTCTTTTTCCTTGGATCATCCTCCTGGAAGGAAATGGAACCGTTTCCCCCAAGTTCACATAAATAATATTCATTTTTAAATTCAGTTCCCTGCTGCTGTGCTGGTGCAGCAAACCAGGCACAGGTGATGGTTTCAGTTATGGACAGAAAGCAGGAATTCCTCAAGAACAAACACAAGTTCTCCTCGTTCTGGAAAAAAGCCTTTCCACACTGTGTGCACGCTCGCTGTCCTCTCACCCAATACAAACTTACACCTAGGAAAATGCACTTTTAGGAATGGGATTGGGACACCCACAGAGAGCAGCCACCAGTACCAGCACCACTGCCCCGGAATCCTGTGCAGGCACCAGAATAAAGCAATATTCCAGCTGGCATTTGCCCTCGGGGGCTGCCCCGGGTGTGGGGTTCATTTTGAGCCCAGCAGCCCCTCCAGACGGGTGCAGGGGGTTACCAGACACCAAAGTGTGCCTGTGGCACAGCACAGAGCCCTGAGGGGTTACCAGACACCAAAGTGTGCCTGTGGCACAGAGCCCTGAGGGGTTACCAGACACCAAAGCGTGCCTGTGGCACAGCTCAGAGCCCTGAGGGGTTACGAGACACCAAAGTGTGCCTGTGGCACAGAGCCCTGAGGGGTTACCAGACACCAAAGTGTGCCTGTGGCACGGCACAGAGCCCAGGATTTCACACCATTTCCCTCTTAGTCCTCTAAAACGCTTCCACAGCTCTGCCATCATCCTTTTCTCTCTCTCCCGGGGGGGTGAAGCCTCAGGTCACCCCCGGTGCTCCCAGCTGCTCTGCTCGGGCAGGAGAGTCCCCTCGCTGTGATTTACTAAAAACCGTCCAAAAACCCCAGACCCCAAACCCCAAACCCAGACCCCAGACCCCCAACCCCAGACCCCAAACCCCAACCCCAGGCCCCCAAGCCCTGACCCTGCCTTGCCTTTCGGGTGTCACGTCTGTGCCTGTGTGTGCGTGTCCATGTGTCCGTCTGTCTGTGTGTCCATATCCGTGTCTGTCTGTCCCTGTGTGTCCATGTCCGTCTGTCCGTGTGTGTCCATGTCCGTCTGTCCCTGTCCCCGTGTCCGTCTGTCCCTGTGTGTCCATGTCCGTCTGTCCCTGTCCCCGTGTCCGTCTGTCCCTGTGTGTCCATGTCCGTCTGTCCCTGTCCCCGTGTCCTTCTGTCCCTGTGTGTCCATGTCCGTCTGTCCCTGTGTGTCCATGTCTGTCTGTCCCTGTTCCCGTGTCGGTTTCAGTTATGGACAGAAAGCAGGAATTCCTCAAGAACAAACACAAGTTCTCCTCGTTCTGGAAAAAAGCCTTTCCACACTGTGTGCACGCTCGCTGTCCTCTCACCCAATACAAACTTACACCTAGGAAAATGCACTTTTAGGAATGGGATTGGGACACCCACAGAGAGCAGCCACCAGTACCAGCACCACTGCCCCGGAATCCTGTGCAGGCACCAGAATAAAGCAATATTCCAGCTGGCATTTGCCCTCGGGGGCTGCCCCGGGTGTGGGGCTCATTTTGAGCCCAGCAGCCCCTCCAGACGGGTGCAGGGAGTTACCAGACACCAAAGTGTGCCTGTGGCACGGAGCCCTGAGGGGTTACCAGACACCAAAGTGTGCCTGTGGCACAGAGCCCTGAGGGGTTACCAGACACCAAAGTGTGCCTGTGGCACAGAGCCCTGAGGGGTTACCAGACACCAAAGTGTGCCTGTGGCACAGAGCCCTGAGGGGTTACCAGACACCAAAGTGTGCCTGTGGCACGGAGCCCTGAGGGGTTGTGAGACACCAAAGTGTGCCTGTGGCACGGCACAGAGCCCTGAGGAGTTATCAGACACCAAAGTGTGCCTGTGGCACAGAGCCCTGAGGAGTTACCAGACACCAAAGTGTGCCTGTGGCACAGAGCCCTGAGGGGTTACCAGACACCAAAGTGTGCCTGTGGCACAGCTCAGAGCCCTGAGGGGTTACCAGACACCAAAGCGTGCCTGTGGCACAGCTCAGAGCCCTGAGGAGTTACCAGACACCAAAGTGTGCCTGTGGCACGGCACAGAGCCCAGGATTTCACACCATTTTCCTCTTAGTCCTCTGAAACGCTTCCACAGCTCTGCCATCATCCTTTTCTCTCTCTCCCGGGGGGGTGAAGCCTCAGGTCACCCCCGGTGCTCCCAGCTGCTCTGCTCGGGCCAGGAGAGTCCCCTCGCTGTGATTTACCAAAAACCGTCCAAAAACCCCAAACCCCAGACCCCAAACCCCAGACCCAGACCCCAAACCCCAAACCCCAGACACCAGACCCCAGACCCCAGACCACCCACCAC